TTATTACTAGTTTCCCTATGTTTATTCAATCATTTGTCCTTTGTTGTAGTTGTTTTCATTTTCAGTATTTACAAAATCCTTCCTATGTTATTAGTTTCCTACTTCTCTTCCTCTCCTTCAGCATCCTTATCATCCTTTTCCATTTCTCATCTCCCCTTTTTTTTAATAACACAAGCATGTCTTCCTTGCCATACATCAGAAAGTGAAGATCTACCATCCACTTTCTTTGATTTTCTGTTATTTTCTTCTCTCATTTTCTTCTCCTGTTGTAGTTGTCTTTTTATACTGATACAATTGACATTGTTTGATATAAAATTCTCTGTTGATTTCATTTAGTTTTGGAGATTTAGACGCAATACTCATTCTTCTTTACATGATGTTACTCTTTTAAATTCTTTGTTTTTTATATATCTATCAATCAAACTCGATACCAATGTATTTGTTTTCTTATCTAGCTCACAGCAAATCCCTCTATCCATACCTATTTACACATTTAGTTATTCAACGTCATATCCATGCATTCACACACACACATACATTGAATTATATAGTGCATGACATATATTGTATTCTGCTTCTCTTTTTTGCTGCCAAAAGGGATTTTCTCGCTATACTGTTTAAATCAAGGAATTCACTTTTTCATCAAGCTACGAACACTACTATTGTCTCTTATGTTTTTCAGCCAAGTTACACCTCGACGGCCACAGCGTGAGGACTCTGCGGTATCTGAGCGAGGGGGACGTGAGGCAAGACGAGGCGGAGGATGCGCGCAGGTCAGAGGCCAGGGGGTCAGGGGGGCGAGGGGTTATAGAGGGAGGGGGGTCACGGGGGGTGGAGGGGGAGGGGTCAAGGGGAGGGGGTATACGGGGAGAGGGAGATTTTGAAGGGTCATAGAGAGGTCAATTTGATAGGTTGTAGAAGTCATAAAGGGAGTTAAATAAAGAAGGGGGGGGGTAAGGGAGGGGATGAGGTGGTAAAGGGGGAGGGAAGGGAGAGAAACAGACAGGCAGAGACAGACACAGACACAGACACAAACACAGACAGACAGACAGACAGATAGACAGACAGATCGGAGGGGAGGAGGCAGAGTAAAGGGAAGGAGATGAGCGAAGTGAATAGATGATCAGAGAGACAAAAAAAAAAACGAAAAAAAAAATCGAAAAACGAAAATGGTTGAAATCTACTCAAACAAAAAAGAAAAGGGAAGTGACAAAATAGCATCAGAGAAACTGAGATAAGCAAACCCACATACCCAGTCTCACTTGGGGCATGTAGTAATTATGTGGGTATGTAGGGTTATATAGACAGGTAGAAGTGATGTGAGGGTGATCTTAGCTGATAAGATTTATGGCCGTAAAATACCTGAATAACAGAGAGAAAATATAGGGGCTGTTGATGAAGAGAGGCATAGATAAATAAACCGATTGATCGATAGATAGATAGATAGAAGGTCATAGACAGATGTATATAGATATAGAAATAAACAGACAGACAGAGAGAAAGGACTGAGAGAGAGAGAGAGAGAGAGAGAGAGAGAGAGAGAGAGAGAGAGAGAGAAAGAAAGAGAGAGAGAGAGAGAGAGAGAGAGAGAGAGAGAGAATGAGAGAGAGAGAGAGAGAGAGAGAGAGAGGGGGGAGAAAGGGGGGATGATCGAAAGGGGATGGGGGCAGATGGGGGGGGGGGAGGTTGGTTTATTATAGTACCTGCGATGTAGATGAGGGAATGAAGGTGGAGAGAGAGGGGGGGAGGGTGTTAGGCCTATGGGGGTGTTTCCGAGATGTTCCTTAAGATATAAATTCGCCTCTCCTTCTTCCACGGGGAAATTCTGTTTTGTTATTTACACAGTAGGCCTATATGTACATGTATATATTTTATTTTCCTATCGTTCTTTTTTATCATAGTTATAGGAGAAATAGAAATACATTTTCATATTCAAATAATTGGATTGAATAAAAGATAAGTAAAGTTGCAAAAATAACGATAAGAAAATTGTAAATAGGGAAATACTCAACAAATCGAAATAAATAAATTAAAACGTATATATAAAAAAAATGTTCGTTGATTAGAAAACAGATTAATAAATTGAATTTCAAAGATAATCACATCGAAAACAATAATAGTGGTGAAAATAATGAAGAAATCAATGATAATTATAATGGTAATGATAATGATAATCATGATATTTTTTTGGGTAATGAGATCATGATTATGATAAGAATTATAATGATAATAATAATAGTAATGACAATAATGTAATAATATTAATAATGGTAATAATATCTACAAAACCACTACTACTACTACTACTACTAATAATAATAATAATGATAAAAAATAGTAATGATGACAATAATGATAATGATAATAATAATGATGATAATTATAATAATGATAATGAAGACATTTCTATTAATAATTATGATCATAATTATAATAATAATAACAATAATGACAATATTATTATCAATGATAATAGTAATAATGATGATGATAATAGTAATGATAGTATTAATAGTTAAGGTTATAATAATAATAATGATAATGATAGTGATAATGTTGATAATGATATTGAAAATAATAGTATTGGTAATAATGATAATGGTAATGATAATAATAATAATGATGATGATAATGACAACAATGATAATAATGATAATCACAATAATCACAATAATTATAATGGTAATCACAATAATGATATTGTTATCAATAATGATAATCATAGTAATAATAAAGACGACAATCATAATAATAATAATGATAATAATAACAATAATAATGTTAATAATGATGATGATGATGATGATGATGATGGTGATGATAATAATAATGATAATACTTAGAATGATAGTCGTGATGATAATAATAACAATAATAAGAATAATGACAATAATAACAGTATCAAAATATCATGGTAATAACAATAATGATGACGATTGTAATAATAAGAATAAGAATGATAATGATAATAACAGTAATAACAACAATGATAATAATGATAATAACAGTAATAATGATAATGATGATAATGTTAATGATAGTAATAATAATGATGATAATAATGGCAACAATAATGATAATGGTAATATAATAATGAAAATAATGATAGTAAATACAATAGTATTGATGATAACATGGTAATGATGATAGCAATAATAGTAACAATAATAATATTACTAATAAAGACGACTAAGTTCATGAGGATGTTGTTACTGATAATAGTGATTATCAACATAAAAAAAGGTCTAGTAACAATAATGATAATGATGATAGTGATAATAATAATGATGATGATAATAATAGTGATACTGATAATGATAATCGTGATAATGATGATAATAATAATGGGGATGATAAGGGTAATAATAATAATAATAATGATAATAATAATAATAATAATAATAATAATAATAATAATAATAATGCTAATAAAGATGACTTAGATGATAATGATGATAGTTACTGATGATAGTTATTAAAAGCCTAATAACAGTCTAGTGATAATCACCATCACTGCACTGCACTGTAGCAGAAGTCGCAGCGATGTAACGCGCCGTGAGCAGGAGGCCTTCTTCTTCGTCAGCTGATCCTCACTGTTCTCTCCCTCAGGTTCGAGTCGTGGAAGGCGTGTCTGGGCGTCCTGGGCATCCCCTTCCTGGACGTGGTGCGCGTCCTGGCCGCCGTCCTGCTCCTCGGGAACGTCACCTTCATCGAGGGCCAGGGGCTCGAGGTCGACATCCAAGGAGGAAGTCACGAGCTCAAGGTAAGGAGGGGATGGAGGGGAGGTGCGGAGGTGAGGGTGGAGGGGGTTTAGAAGGGGGGGCGGGAGTGGAAGAGATGGAAGGAAAAGGAAGATGGGAGATAGTGAAACAGAGAGGAAGTGAGAGAATGAGAGAAAGGACCTTGTTTAAAGAGGGGAAAAGCAGGGAAGGGAGGGAGAGAAAGAAGAGAAAGAGCGTAGTCAAGTGGACAGGGAGAGAAAAGAGTGAGAGAGAAAAACATAAAATAAGAAAAGCGTATGTGAATGAAAGTTTCTGTGGTCGGGTTAGAAAATAACATCGCTAGACAAAAAAAATCACAATAGTATTATATTTTTCCAAAGACACATAGCCTCGGACGGAAATAAAGAGAACGTGAGTTAACGACCTAATTAATGTCAGTCTTCATTCTGACCCCGATGACTCCTTCTGCTCCCCAGAGTGTGTCGGCGCTGCTCGGCGTGTCCTCCGCCTCCCTCTACCGCGGCCTCACCACGCGGACGCACAACGTGAGGGGGCAGCTGGTCAAGTCCATGTGTGACGCGAATATGGTGAGTGGTCATGGCTTGAAGGAGAGATGAATTAACGGAGGACGATGATAATACAAAGAGGGAGCGATGCATTTAGTGAAAACATTACGAAATTAGTAAAGCCAGAAAGAATTGAATGTATATTGAATTTGACTAGTATTAACAGGGAAAGAAATATCAAAATGGACCTTGCCTTCCCTCAACATACAAACAAACAAACAGCTAAACCCCCTTCCCCCGCAGTCCAACATGACCCGCGACGCCCTGGCCAAGGCGCTCTACTGCCGCACCGTCGCCACCATCGTCAGGAGAGCCAACTCCCTCAAGCGCCTCGGCTCCACCTCGGGCACACTCTCCTCCGACAGGTAAGCGCCCAGGGATTGCGCGGGAGGGCGAGGCATCACCTTTCCTTATTCACAGTAAAAGAGATGACTATTAAAACAATCATTTAACCAAGTATGACGAGTTTATGTTCTGAATATGAAACAAACACACACACACACACACACACACACACACACACACACACACACACACACACACACACACACACACACACACACACACACACACACACACACACACACACACACGCACACACCTATGCATATGTATATATATATATATATATATATATATATATATATATATATATATATATATATATATATATATATGTATATATATATGTATATATATATGTATATATATATATGTATATATATATATGTATATATATATGTATATATATATATATATATATATATATATATATATATATATAGATAGATAGATAGATAGATAGATAGATAGATATACACTTATATGTATACATTCTTACATATATATATACTTATATATGTATATAGGTATATATATATATATTATACATATTTACATATATAAATATTGGAAACACAAACCTGGCCAAAGAGACTAACGAAGCCCCGCCGCCTCTCCAGCAACGAGAGCGTCCACCACCAGGCCGAGGTGGCGTCGCAGCACGCGTCCACCGTCGGCACCGCGGGCTCCAAGGCGTCCAAGTCCATGAGCGTCCTCAACAACGCCGTGAAGCACGCCACGGACGGATTCATCGGGATCCTGGACATGTTTGGCTTCGAGGACCCGAAGGTGAGTGGCTGGGGAGGGGAGGAAGGACAGGGATGGGGAGGCCGGGGAGGGAGAATGGGATGGGAGGGAGGGAGGGGAGGGAAGGAGAAAGGGAGAAGAAGAGGGAGAGGAAAAACGGCCGCACAGGTATCATAACGTTGCTTTATCGCCCCTGCCGCAGCCGTCCCACCTGGAGCACCTTTGCATCAACCTGTGCGCGGAGACGATGCAGCATTTCTACAACACGCACATCTTCAAATCGTCGATCGAGTCGTGTCGAGAGGAAGGCATAACGTGCGAGGTGGAGGTCGACTATGTTGACAACGTGCCCTGCATCGATCTTATTTCTTCGCTGGTAAGGCATTTCTTATTCTGTTAAGGTACCCTTTTTGCATATAATTGCTGTTAAATGTTTGTTTATTTTGATTTTGTAAATCAAAATAAATCAAATCAAAGTCTTTTGTTTATTTGTTTGTGTATTGATATCTAATTTCTTTCTTCTTTCACATTCATTGTTTCGAATACATTCTTTTCATCTGAACCCCCTCCTCCCCCTCAGCGCACCGGCCTACTCAGCATGCTCGACGTGGAGTGCTCCGTGCGGGGGACGCCGGAGAGCTACATCCAGAAGGTGAAGGTGCAGCACAAGGGCAACCTCAGACTCTTCGAGCCCAAAGCGAACCACATCCGGTCCTTCGGGATCCATCACTTCGCTAACAGAGTCATCTACGACGCTTCGGATTTCTTGGGTGAGTCATTGAGTCAGCGGAGGTGGCTCACGGACGGTCTCGCGGAAGATTTATATTGGTTGGAATTAGAAACAAGACTGAATCAGAGGAGATTTGCAGACTCGGATGAGTCTAAAATTCGAGAATAGTCGGAAGTTCATGCGAGATTTAATGTGATTTGTTTACAATTATATTTTAACTGACGGATTTTATCTTTGTTATTATTCGATAATTTTGCTGAGTAAATGAAGAGATAAATAAAGAAGTGCATTTTCCCACCAGACACCAACAAGGACATCATAAGTGACGACCTGGTGTGCGTCTTCCACAAACAGTCTTGCAACTTCGGCTTCGCGACGCACCTGTTCGGCTCGGAGTTGAAGGCACTGTTTTCGCAGGACCCCGTCCCTAGGGGCGTCTCCTTCAGGATCAGCCCCACCTCTCACACGGATCTGTAAGTCGGCGGGGGGGCGAAGGAGGTTGGGAGGGAGGAGCGAAAGAGGAAGAAAGGAAAAATGAGAAGGGAAAGCGATGGAGGGAGGGGAGTTAGGTAATAAAAAGTGTGAGGGATGGCTGGAGGAGGGAAGCAGGTTCGCGTCACGAGGGAGAGAGGGAAGGAAGGGAGAGAAAACATTGAGAGTGTTAAGAAATGCAGGAAGAAGAAAGAGTGGGGGAAAAGAGAGGGTGGAAAGAGAAAGAGGAAAGAAGAGAAGCAGCAGGGAGGCAACAAAGGGAGCGGAAGTGGAAGGAAAGAGAGAGCTGGAGAGAGGGGAAAGAACAAAGGGGGAGAGAGAGAGCTGGAGGGAGGGGAAAGAACAAGGGAGGAGAGACAGAATGGAGGAAATAAGAGAAAGGGAAGCGAGGCAGACTGGAGGAAGGCAGAGTTGAAATAAAAAAAGGGGAAGAATGTAGAATAATCGAGGGAGATATGTTCGAAAGAAAAAGAGAGAGGAGGAAAGAGGAAGTGGGAAGAGAATGTAAGGCACAGGAAAATGTTTAGCCATGAATTAAGATTTTTTCTCAGAACTGTGTGCATGGATAGATATCTGTACGCACTGGGATGAAATGACAGTCATGATACTGATGATTGTGATATTATTGATATTGATAATGACGGCAATAATACAGAAAATTATTGCTTCAACACCATTACCATGACCAATACCAATCCTAACGCCAGATCTGATCCACTTTCCTATTACGCCTCTCCCCCGCAGCCAAAACGGCGACGAACCGGTGTCGACGCTCACGCAGGACTTCCACACGCGCCTCGACAACCTGCTGAGGACGCTGGTGCACGCGAAGCCCCACTTCGTGCGCTGCCTGCGCTCCAACGCCTCCGAGAAGCCCGCCATGTTCGACCGGGCGACCGTCATCAAGCAGATCCGCGCTCTGCAGGTACAGTCTGCGGGCCTACAGGGACCTCCGAGCATGAGATGTGTCTTCAATTTATCACTGTTTCTGCTTTTCATATTTTCTTATTTGATGTTCCCTTTCTGATCCGAGATTTTCTAGTTCCTTCCTTGCAAAATGTTATACTTCTTACTCGATTCCTGCTACGACTGCTGCTCCTCCGCCGTCTCCGCTCACTGAGCCTCCTCCCGCAGGTGCTAGAGACGGTGAACCTTATGGCGGGCGGCTACCCGCACCGCATGCGCTTCAAGACGTTCAACATGCGCTACCGCCTGCTGGCGCCGTTCAAGAAGCTGCGTAGGGTCGAGGACAAGACGGTGGACGACTGCAAGCTGGTGCTGGAGTACTTCGTGCGCTCGCTCGAGGACGTGAACAAGTCATCGACCGTGGCCATCCAGTGGGCGCTCGGCAAGAGGCACATCTTCCTCAGGTGAGCACCGGCGCTCGGGCGTTTCTGCAGGTTCTGGTGTCGCTATTTTAGTCAACTGCTCTTATTCGTCTCTTTGTATCGTCGTTCATTTATTACTGTATTTGTTTCTCAGCGAGGGCGCCCGGCAGCAGCTGGAGATGCTGCGCATCGAGACTCGGCACCGCGCCGCCACGTTGATCCAGGCCGTGTGGCGCGGATGGCACTTCCGGCGCCGCTGGCCCACGCTCAAGCGCAACCTGGAGCTGCGTGCGCGCTCGCGCACCGTCCGCCCGAGACCGCAGCCCATCGCCGGCACGCCGCCGCCTGACGTCATGGACCGCTGCGACCAGAAGACCATCCAGCAAACCTGCTCGCTCTTCGGCCTCGACCTGGTGAGGAAGGCGGCTGCGGATTCAAGCCCACCTTAGCCTTGTTTATCTCCGCCTCTTCTTTATTTCCCCCTTTCCTTCAGTGTTGTCCTTCTCCCACCCTCTCATAGAATTCAGTATACTGAATGTTTTATCCATCGACCTCCATCCAGTTTTTTCACACATTTCTAATCCTTCATTTGTCATTTAATTTTTTTCTGTCCTCCACCAGGAACGGCCGCCGCCTGTGCCGCCGAGCCGCTCGTACACGATAACAGGAAATCATAAGATGGGTTACCCACAGACACGTGTCATGAAGATGAATTTCCCGGGTAAATTATTTTGCCGTTATTTTCAGCTTTTTCATATCTATTTGATTTAAGTATGATATTGCTATTGCTATTATTTCTATTTAGTTATTATTTTTATCATTATTATTTTGTTATTACTTTCATCATTATCATCAGTATTACTATTATTATTATCATTGTTATCATTATTACTGAGCGTTCCCTTCCCTCCCCAGAGGACGGCGGCGGCGCGGAGACGGTGCTCCTGAAGGGCGAGTCCGTGCTGGTCGTGGGCGCGTCCCCCCGGCGCGGCCACCTGCTGGTCGAGCACCAAGGCCACTCCGTCCACGTGCCCTTCCAGTACATGGAGCTCAAGCCCTCGGCGCAGCCCGGAGTCAACATCTAGACGGCGGTCAAGGAGCAAGCAAGGAAATGAGGCTGATGGCGAGAGGAAGAGACAGGGATTTCAAAGATAGAAGAAGAAATGAGGGCTAGAGAATTAGATTCGGAAAAATACCTTATTTTTTAGAGGGGAAAAGAGGTGTGTGTTTACCCGCAGTTTTTTTTTTCTTCTTTTCCTTTTTTTTGTCTAAACATTCGTAAGGAAGGATTCGGTTGTTCTTCCACGTGTCCCCTACAAACGAAAGAGAACGAAAGTGGTAGAAGAGAACTGAGACTGAAAACTCGACTACAACCAATCCAGACAAAAGGAAGAGAAAACTAAGGTGGAGACATTTTCGCTCATGGCGGTGGCGCAGGTGACGAATGCACACGAGTGGCGGTGTTTTCAGAAAGGAAAATACATGAAAAGGCGTTGACGTATAAACAAAGACAAGAAATGCAAGTGTGTCGCCGAAAGAGTGAATGTTTTCTTTGACATTCGCTGGTGAACATGATTGTGAGAACATTATGATGTTCGTAAATTACAAGAAAAAACTTTTAAGACGTTTTTATACCTGAAAGGGAGCAATTATAGACTTCAAAGTGTGTATATATATATTATAATTATGATATTTGTATGTGCCAATATTGTTAGGTATTTTTATAAGTTTATTGATATACCTCGTTACTTATCTATGTCGTATTTTTTTCTTTCTTTCTTTTTTATCATAACTACATCATCGGAAATGTAATGAATGAGTATTTGATATTCAAGATACCGCATTTTGATCCTTGGTGCTACATGCTTTTAGAACCAGTGTCGTTTGCTCTCTGGCTTGTTCATTTCCCGTCTACGTTTTCTTCATGGAAAGTATTCACAGTATTATCACACAACGTTTCCAGTTCTCCGAACCCTTGGTCTGTTTGCGTTCGCTTCTCTTGACTTCTGTTTCGTTTCTTCTTTCTCTCCCTTTTGCCCCTTATTTCATTAGTACTGTTTCCTTTTATTCATA